AATGTCCTGCTAAGACAGTTGAATGTCTCAAATATTAAACAAGAGGTAATTCTGCAGCAGTCTTCTGAATTTGACTAGCGATAGCTGCAACATTTCTTTGTGAGGACAATTGGGTGCCATGAGGATTCTGCCAAATTTTGGAAAGCCTCTTTGCAAGTCAATGTGTGTGTTTTAAAGCTGATCTAGAAGCAGATATAAATGTGATTTCAGAATCTATCTACAGAAATTCCCAGAGCCTGCCTTGTCTTCAGCTGACTACTGCAACTGACTACTGATTCTTTGCAAACTTTAGCACAGTGTTGTCCAAACTTGGCCACTTTAAGATGAGTGGACTTCAACTCCCAGAATTCCCACGCCAATTCTGGGAGTTGAAGTCCACTCATCTTAAAGTGGCCAAGTCTGGACAACACTGCTTTAGCAGAAAGATTTGATATTGCCCAAGATGCTGAACAGCCAATATCCCAGTACAGAGGCAGAAAATACGAGCTTATATACTGTATACTCCATAGTCAGGCGAACAGTCTAATAGCAGAGAAGCATCTATCATAATGAACTTAGTCCACTGCACAGAAAATGTTCCTACAAAGCCTCACTAAGAAATAAGAACCCTAAAGATTCCAGCAGTAAAGATAAAGCTTAAGGAACAGTCAGTCCCCAAAGTAAACACAGAATTAGAGAGAACCATTCAACATGGAGTAATTGAAATAATGGGACCAGCAGCCAAGAAAAATGGAACTGTTTGTATCTGGATAGGCCTGAAACAGTTGAACAAAAGTTCATCCTTTTCACAAGATGATAGCCTTTTGCAACTTCCAGTGCTTGAATATACTCACTGCCTGATGCTGCCAGTGAATTTTGGTAAATATAGTTAGATCCAGGCTGCATCACATCAACTTGGTTTATTGCACCATATGAATTTTTTTTTCTTTTCTTTTAAAGAGTATCTTTTGGGATTTCTACATTCATAGCTGTTTTAAAGGAAATGGCCTGCACTTTTACAGTATCTAGTGTTTCATTTTTTATTGGTGACATTTTGGTTTAAGGGCTTACTTAAGATGAATGTGACCAAAGACTGTATGAAGGCTAGCAACAAGTTCTAAAACTTGCACCTAACCAAATGCAAATTGTTAAAGCTGAAAGAGTTCAAATAAATGACTATGAAGCGAGCCCAAATCTAAAGGAAATGGAAACTATTTTAAGGAGTCAACACTATAGCTGAATTATAGATATTTGAGGGCATTATGCAGCAGGGCTCTGCAGTTCTTTTGATTCAGTTCCCACACAGTCTTTACAGAGTACAGGGCCATGAATGTAGTGGTTGTTTGCAACTCTTTAAAGCAGCTGCATCTTTTCCTGGGATTGTATGGCTGCCATGCTGTGTCAAAGACTTAATCTATTTAGAGCAATTTGTGGTTTTAGCCAGAAGAACTATCCTCAATGAAAAGAACTAGTTATATCAATGTCAGAGAGACTGTGGAAGAGAAATGAAGCTGACTTGCATATAAATTATGCATCATGACATCACAAGAAATGTTTTATTACTTGACCCCCAATCCCTTTCCTCCTCCTGCCGATGCTTGTAACAGTGATGCTCATTCCTAAAGGTTTGTCTGGACAGGCCAGACAAATTTTAGGTAAACTATATTTTATCAGATGAAAATGATACAGTAACATTAAAAGTTGCCAACTGTTGTCTGCAAAAGGTGATTTCTGTAGCTGAGGAATTGGTAATTTTATTTATTTATTTATTTATTTATTTATTTATTTATTTATTTATTTATTTAATAGACTTGTC